AAATTTCATAACAACGAAACAAATACCTGTAGTTTGTAGGTGGCCAGATGGCAGACTGATCAAAGGTCCCCTCGTAACCAGAAGGTCAAAGTATGAACCGCTGCACTTTAGTGCTGAAGCAAATGGTGAATTTATCAATTAGTTTAATGAGAGAAAATGGATTGACAACAATTTTTATTATCAGTTAATCACTGAAGTAATTTATCAAGCAAAAATGATCAACTTTTGTTACTTCCTGCTTCTCTATTGTGAGGATTTTTCAGCTTTACTCTGTTTTCTATCTTTTTAAATGAACTACCTTTTGGGTTTTGAACTGTTCCTCAGACAAAAGAAGCAATCTGAAGATTTCATCTTGGTGTCTGGAAAATTACAGTTTCACAACTCTCTGACATCACAGAGATGAAAAGATTCATTAGCCAGCATTGGGCATCTTAGCAAATGAAAAACAGTCCGCTGAAAATACAGTCAATCAATATTTACTCATTACAACTTCTCATGCTTGTATTTAGTGAGACGCAGCAAAGTGACAGTACTCACACAATTAAAAAACCAGCACAGACCAGCAGCAGCAGTTTGACCACCTCAGGGTGGGTTTCATTATTCCTATCTACACTGAATGAAACGGTGGACAAGATAACTATCTTAATCTTATTTGGCTGTAGAGGCTCACTCTGTCTTCCCTCTGTTTTATTTCTGTATTTCCCTCTCGGTGTCCCTCATACGGATGCACACAAACACACTGACCTATACAAACCCGCCTTTTTCCAGCCGTAAGGAAAACAGTCTCCCTCCTCACACCACAGTGCATCACTGAATCCTGTGTGTGTGTGTGTGTGTGTGTTGTTGTGGTGTGGTGTGTGTGTGTGTGTGTGTGTGTGTGTGTGTGTGTGTGTGTGTGTGTGTGTGTGTGTGTGTGTGTGTGTGTGTGTGTGTGTGTGTGTGTGTGTGTGTGTGTGTGAGAGAGAGAGACAGAGAGAGTGAAACAAGAGAAGGAGACAGGCAATCAGATAGAGGGGTTGTCAGGATGTGTGTATCAGTTGTATCTCGCCTGTGTGTGTGTGTGTGTGTGTATTTGTGTCTGAGTTGATTGTATCTTGTGTGTTTCTCACCATTGCAGCTGCATTGATAGCTGAGGGAACACTAAACATGATATTAATGACGATAAAGTTTCCGGTAGGCAGGGAAACCCAGAGTATCTCCATCAGACATATTTCACTAATCCTTTGATGTCCTGATCAAACATTGTACCAATGCCAAATTTATTGCTTCAGTCTCAGTAGATTTTGGCCTGTGTCTGCTCTGCCCTGCTCTGTGTTGAGCACTGAGAAATGGCGTGTAAGGCAAGCAGCAAGACCCAGAATGCAACCTGCCAAACTGCCAGATGCTTTGATCCAAGATGGCCCCCTGAGAGCCAGCATGGATCCACAGAGTCTCAGAGCCAAGGCTGGATTCAGACACAGTGTCAGTGCTGCCTGCCAGGGATATTTACACCATTTGTCTTCATACAACACAACGTTCAGCAGTTTTTTTCTCTCTGTTGTTGTCACTCTCAACATATGCCATTTGGTGGACGCACTCATTACAGTACGGCAAGTGGATACATTTTCAGAAAAAGGGTTGTCCCAGTGGGAATCCAACCCCCAACCCTGCAATAGAGCCTTGGTTTATGCGTTGGGAAAGAGTACAGCTCTTCTAACTTATATAAAACACAAAACAGGCTCTTTTTTTAAACTGATTTTACTGTATGTTTTATATAATTTCTCTGGTGCCTTTCAGTGTTTTTATTAACATAATGCACGTAAGCATAAGTGATTAAATAATTATTTTTTGGGACAAAATAAGCAGTTTGAAGATGCTTTGAGGCTCGACGAAATTCCCCATTTCTCACTTTTTTCTGACAAGAGACAAATAATCAATCAGTGAACAACAGAATAATCAATTATAAAAAGAATTCTTATTTTTGGAATAGTACTCCCCAAAAAAAAACACATTAAAACAGTTTATCTCAAAAGCAAAATGTCTGCAGATCCTCATTTTTGCGGTTGTCCACTGTGAAATTAGTCTGATATTTATTCGACACACCTCTGTCTCTTTAAGAGCTAGGCGGTATCTGGAGGTCAGAGTTCAACCCTGAAGAGGTTGAGTGAAGGGAGGAGGATGCTGAGCAGCTGTCAAGCGTCCTGCGCCACTCGTCCTGCCTCCATCCTTCCATCTCCTCGTCTCTCTCTGCCTTCAAATCGCTCACCTGCTTGCCCTCATTCCCTCCTTCGCTCCCTCCCTCCCTCCAGTTATCCCACATTCACCATTTTCTCCTCTGTTCATCTCTTGTTCATCTCTCCCTTTCTCCTTCCTTCTACCCTTCATTCCCTTCTTTTCTCCTCCCTCCTGTCCTCCTCTCCTACCTTTCCTCTGACCTTCCTGCCTTTCTCTCCCCTCTTCTCCTTCTTCCCTCCCTTCGCCTCCCCTTTTTCCTTTCATAAAATGCGGCTGATGGTTGGCTGGTAGCTGCTGGCTGGCTAGCGGTGGGGGATATAGCTTTATAATCCCCCCTCGTCTTCTAGCCCGCCTCGCCACAATGTCACAGGAGCTTAATATTTGCCATTATTATTTGCTTGTTTTATTTGACTTCGAGGCAGCACAATGACCTGTCAGCGCCGGCTTTATCCCCCCTCCGAGTGTCGTCCGTTTCAAAGTTGACTACAGTAATCCACGAGCCCCCGATTCCACTAAATCCTGAAGCTTTCTTTCATTCGCACATTCTTTTTTTTTTTTTTTTCCGTCTCTCTCCTCCCTCCTCCCCGCTCCACCCTTCTAAATGAAATTACATACATCTGCTGGCTCAGAGTATCACAAATGTCCACACACTCACCGGTGTCCGCGCACACATCCACGCGCCTGCCTTTTGTCGTCAATGACGCAGCGGCCCAATGCGCCCTCTCCTCTGCCATGAGCAGCAGTGTGTGTGTGTGTGTGTGTGAGAGAGACAGAGAAAGACACATTTCTCTTGGTTTTCTTTGGTAGCAGCTCAGTCAGTCACATTTGCACAGATCCAGAGAGTCTCCCAATAAAAGCATCAGTGTAATGAGCTTAAAACACGACATCAGCGACGTTTGATCCATCAGAAAAAATGATATAGAATATAAAATATCAAAACTTCGCATACATGTTGGCGTAACAATGCCTTTCTTTTTATTTAGAGGGCCGCCAATTAATAAGTGGTATGAAATGGCGTCTTAGTGTTAATTCTGTTATGATGCCTGTTGTAGCTTCCCGACTATTAAACCTTCCTCTCGAGAAAGAGAGAAAAAAAACAGCGAGAGATAATAACATAAGCCCTAAGACGATCTTTCATCTCGCGTCCTCTGTTTTCATCCATTTCTTCTCCTCACAGACGCACTGAGTGTCAGATTAATGCTGTTGTCGCTGTTTAACTGGCCTCCAGTGCCACAAAGCTCATATCCCAAATCTAGACGTAAACAGTGGCTAAGTGAACTGACCACACTGGAGTGTGTTTGGACAACAGCAAAATATACAAGTGTAGAAAAACTCAGTCATAACGAATAAATAATATTTACATTTCTAAGAACTAAAAGGAACGTATTTTTGATACTAATTTATAACAATCTACATGTTTACAGGCTTTCAGGTTTAAAGCACTGACATTTATCTTCATCTTGTATCAGGTACTAACGGTGCCAATATTTCTGCTTCATCCTGTTAAACTGAAAAACAAACACAGTGTAATTTAAGGTAGCAGAGTATTGGTATTAGGGAAGTAATGTAACATGTTAATACATTTAAAGGCTCAATCCTGTTATTTTAACTACATTAATTTAATTTGAATTCCCCTGTAATTTGAGGTTTTATCTCGACATATAAAAAGCAATATTTTTGTGTCTCTTACAAAAGCATTAAATGGCACCAGAGAACTTTAATAACTTAGCTTTTTTTGTTTTCTCTTACTAGTCTCTCCATCAACTTGGAAGCGACAGCAGCTTCCAGTCCTGTGCTTTGAATTTTTTGCCAAATTACAGTAAAATAACTCTTAGATAACTGGTCCTCAAATCACAGACACTACAATCTAAATGAATATTTTTGAAATCATCATTCTGAGGTAGCCAGCAGATGCCGAGTTGATGGGCCGTTTTTCTAGTTTTTCCTCCGGGTCACACATGACCGATGGAGGCTGATCCTGTCGCTGTTATGTGGCTAATATTTGAAGGTTCCCATTCGATGTGCTGTGTCCGTATCAGTTGTGCGCATCCTATTGTACCTTGTAAGTAAGTTACAGCATAGAGCTTTAGCCCCAGGCGTGGGCGAAGCTTACATTAGCCATGCATCTGAGCCTTGCTAGCTCTCTGTGTGTTGAGCAGGTATTACACTAAGCGTCGGAGAGTCCCAGAGACGTGTTTTTTTTGAAGGCCCGCTGAGTGATTGGTGGGATATGCATTGCCCTACAGTGAGAGGCTCCACTCTGTAAAGGCGCTCGACGGTAATCACTGAGTTAATCCCGCCCCGGTTGAAGCCGTATTGACATTGTGAAGACGTGGTGTGAAGTATGTGAATGTTTACACAAGGAATATAAGCGAGCAGCGTATTTACACGCACACACACACACACACACACACACACACACACACACACAAAAATATCTGGTGGACACTGACTCTGCAGCGACAAAAAGAGTCATTTATCTGCCTGGTCTCTGTCGTGTGTGTGTGTGTGCTTCTACACTTGTTTACACTCTGTGCTCTAATTTTGTGATTTACAGACACAGTCAATGGTAGAAAATGACCTTTTATCTGTCAGGCTCAATCTACTGTCACTGATGTGATACTTTACTCTAACTGTGCATTTAACAATTTGAATTTTGCAAGGAAACAGCTGAGTAATAAATTTGAACAGCTGTGGATGTTACTGAACTGGTTTACCGTCATGTGTGTAACTCTGCTTGTTTTTCTCTGTGTGTGTGTGTGTGTGTGTGTGTGTGCGCTCTCCAGGAAAAAACAAGGAGGAGGAGGAGGCCATGATGCAGGAGTGGTTCATGTTAGTAAACAAGAAGAACGCCCTCATCAGAAGACAGAACCAGCTCTCTCTGCTGTATGTACCCTAACATCCTTTCCTTTTCATGGTCGGATGAAAGCATTTGCTATGACTGGAAAACAGCTAGGTGGCTGCATTAGCGCCTGTTTGTTTTTCGATATATTTTTTTTATTCATGCACTGAGAAGCATTAAAAATGTGGAAACATCACACTTCTATTCAAGCATCAGATCAAAAATCATTAACGCTACACAGGGTGGCAGTGTACTCACCACTCCATTCACCCCCTCTGTCTATCCGCTCATTGATTTACATGTGGACGGAATATGAAATCAATAGAAATGTGGCGATCATCACTCTATCGCTAGTCTCTTTGTATGTGGCCAGCTGCGACAGGTGGAGACGCACGCACACACACACACACACACACACACACACACACACACGCAGGCTGCCTTTTTTCTTCATTTGCAGCTGTTGGGATTTCAAAGTGTGCGAGGAGGAGAGATTGAAGTATTCATAATCACATTATATCGTGGGAAAGGAGAGGCTTTTAAAGTGGCCAATTGACAGAAGGGCTGATTATTAGCCCGTTCTGTTCTCTCTTTGTGGAGGCCAAGAGAAAAGGCGCCTGTGAAGGACAAATTCTATTAGGGACTGAATTAGCTCATTTTTTAATATGGCTGAAAGAGGAAAGAATTCAATTTGTGCCACATACGCACACACACACACACACAAACCACATCTGCCCGTGCGTACGCAGAAACACAGGGCGACACACACTCGTGGCATGTCCATATATTAATGCGTTTCTATCTTTCTCTCTCTTTTCATGCCATGTTCACCCCCTGTCCTTATATTCCTCTTTCTTTCCTCACACACAAGCACACACACTCACCCAGGGCTGTGCGAGCGCAGTATGTGTATCAGTTATGTGCAGTAGATTAATGCGAAGCCGGAGAAGGTTCAGGCGAGTAGCTGAATCGATGTTTATTGCAGGTTTCTTTAAGTGCTTAATGATTTAGTCATTAACATATTGATGAACTTTGTTGTGTATGTGTGTGTGTTTTTCTCTCTCTCTCTCTCTCTCCCTCTAACTTGCCACAGGGAGAAAGAGCACGATCTGGAGAGACGCTTCGAACTGCTGAACAGAGAGCTGAGAGCCATGCTGGCCATCGAGGGTAAGACACACACCGTCTCTCAGCTGAGGTTTAATATGTCTGCAGGTATCAGGCAGGAGAGATGTACACATTCATATCTGTGTTTCCCCCCCTGCAACAAAACCTTCATTTCATTATGTAAATTCAGTTTAAATGTCAAACTCTTTATTTTCTGTCATTACATGCGTTTTGACAGTTCCACTTAGAAATAACCAGGTTTCACCGCTGAGGTGGAATATATGATCATGTTAGTGATGGCAAATGTGAAGCAACATAACAAATAATCTCCATTCATTCGTTTTACTTCAGTTTTCTCTCCCAGTGACTGACCTGTTCTATATATCATATATATTTATATATATATATGTGTGTTAATGTTTATTTATTGGACAAAATGGCCACTGAAGAAGACAAACAGCAACAGTTGAGATTTACTTTCTGCTTCCCCGGTGATAAAGAGAAGGTAAAGCTGCTGTCGGGGTTGTTGGACTTTTATAACACAGAGATTCGTCTCTCTTCACCTGTATGGTTTTCACGAGTGTTTCTTGTATTTTGTCCAGCTGTTAACCAGCCTTCATCGAGAGCCTTAAGCAGGATGATTTTAATTCTGCGTCGGCTTCTTGATGAGGATTAAGATGCGAGCTTGCGAGGGATTTCACTCCCTGATACTTGATCAATGCTATCTGTTTCCTAGCTAGACCTGACTAGTCGATGGCTGATTTGAAATCTAGCCACAGCCGCATTGAGAGACGGTTTGCGAGGTTAAAAAAAAAAAAAAAAAAGCAGTTATATTACTGAAAGCTTGTTAACTATGCCGCAGCCAGAAAAGCAGCCATTGTGTCGTATCAAAGTTGTCAGGGGGCCAGGGAAGTTTAATCCCCTTCGACTGTGTCCTCTTTGGCAAAATGAACCTTTTGCCAATCAATGCTAATTGATTTTACCATTCGACATTGACCACCACCACCCCTCCTCTCCCCACAGCCTTCAGACACCCATTGTAATTTCACCGGGCACCTGATAAGCTACCTGGTCCATAATAAATCAATTGTAATTAGCAAGAAGGGGGTGGGCCAGGCAGGAGGGGGGGTGGCCTCTGAGGCAGGAAGCGGGGGGCTGGGGGCGGGTAGCCAAGCAGGAGCTGCAGACGGTGTTGCGCTGCCTTCGTCCAGGTTGATTCCCTCTGTCTTCGCCCGGCCATTTAATTTATTTATATTTATCGAGCTGCAGCGTGTCTGCGGCTCGAGTCAAACAGGAGGATTTCACTTTTTCTGGTTCATATGTCAGAGTGTGTGTTTGTATCAGCGAGCGTGCTCTCACCTTGTGTGTGTGGTTGTTTTTGCGAATATTGTGTTGTGCTGAAGAGAAGTCTGCTTTTGTTTCTTTCATTTGAGTGTGTGTGTGTGTCTTCTGTGTGTGCGTGTGTGTGTGTGTGTCTTCTGTGTGTGCATATTTCTCTCTGTATCGGATGTGTATCACGTGTCTCCCTGCTCGCCTCTGTGTGTGAGTGTGTGTGGAAGTGAGAGAGCAGAGATAGTGTGTGAGGTGAGGTGGAGAGGTGGTGTGTGTCGTGTCACCTCGCCCCTCTCTGCCTTCATGTGGACTTGTTGGATTTGCAGCTGACTAACTTATCAGCCGGCCTTATTTTCCTCCCTAAGGGAGGCACTTAACATTCACAGGCTCTACCTTTCTGTAGCAGCCACAGATAGTTCTGAGCTGCTGGGAAGAGACCTGCGTGTGTGTGTGTGTGTGTGTGTGTGTGTGTGTGTGTGTGTGTGTGTGTGTGTGTGTGTGTGTGTGTGTGTGTGTGTGTGTGTTAAAGAGAGACGATCTGTTGGTCTCTGTTTGTCTGCATCTGTGTGTTTACATCTCACAGGTGTGTTTGTGTGTCCACCTGAGTGTCTGTCTCTTTCTCTGTGTGTAAATGTGTGTGTGTTTGGCGCCCATCTCCCCAGCTCTTATTTGGTGCTTGGGCAGGTCCATTGAGCGATGGTCGGGCGTGCGAGTAATTGCTGATTTGGTTGGCCAGTCGATGACACAGAGAGAGAGAGATGCACTGTGTGAGTCAGAGCAGAGAGAAAAAACACACATCGCTGAGATACACCTGCCCAGTCACACACACACACACACACACACACACACATTCACTCCCTGCTGAGAAAAATATATACCTGCAATGATACACACACACACCACTCTCCCTCTATCTCTTCCTCTCAGTCAGGCCACATGGTCACATATTGAACCACAGTCTTCATAATGTACAGACTCACACACACTCTCTCCAGGTCAGAGTGTGCTGCAGCTGTTTCCGTCCGTTAGTAACAGTCAACAGTTATTAGAATATTTCCCGTCAAGTGTCAGTAGACGAGGAGAATATTGTAAAAACAGATGCAGGAATAAACCGTTAGAATTGTATAATGTATATATGATGTAAACATTGTGGATTGTGATGAGAGTTGAAGGCAGGAGATATGAAGTGAAGCCGCTCGGCTCAGTCTCTGTTGACGCCGCGGACCAGAACAGAGAGAGAGAGAGAGAGAGAGAAAAGAATGACTCATGACGTTTTATTCTACATTTGTGCTGCTGACTGGAGCTGCAGGACATTCAGGAGGGAGAGGAGGAGAGGAAGAAAGACAGAGGGCTTCCAGGTGGAAAAGAGGAGTCAGGAGGAGAGGATCCATCTGAAATCAACTTTGAAGCTGAAGGACAAATATTCCTAAACTTTTCTTGATTTCATGATTCTACCAGTCGTCTTTGTGTAGTGATTTTTGGTGAAGGAATAAAATGTATTTCGTACACGTAGGAGCAGTGGTGAAATGTAACCAGGTACATTTCCTCAACCACTGTAGTTAAGTACAACTTTGACATTTCAGAAGAAAATATTGCACTTTTTACTCCACTGCAATAATTTGACTGTTTAGGTGTTAGTTACTTTGCAAATTAAGATGCTTTCTTGCTGCTGTTCCTTTTTTTATTATTATTATTTTAATAATTTTAGGATATTGTTAATGATTTTGGGTTTAGGACAGAATTTGCATTGTGAAAGTGTCACTAAGCTCGTATCATGATACAGTGATCCACAGTGAGGTGTGCTGATGTTTCTCCAACATGCCGACGCTTAAACCAGTTTCCAGAGTCTGATTAAATGTGCAACTGTTGCAGAATGAAACGGTTGGGGACAGGTGGAGGCTGTCGGGCCAGTGTTGATGTTGTTTATGAGCGTGCTCAGTGATAACCACCTCCTTGTACCTTCTTGGTGTGATGCCAGGCAGGAAAATGCCATCTGTATGCCACACTCTCATCTCCCTGCCACAAAATTGATCCACTATGCCCTCTTTATCTGCTTACCGATTCACACCTATGTATGCACACACACAAAACTGTGTCTTGGCTGCTTTCAAGGGCCTGTGTGTGTGTGTGCGCGCGCATGTGTGTGTGTGTGCGTGCATGTTTTAAAGTGGACGCCCTCTCGCCATCTAAAAGGGATTTATGCATAGCCGGGTCCCAGAGTTTTTCCTGTTACGGTTTGATATGATAAGCTTTTTTATATGTTTAAAATCAATATGTAATCCTATGCAGGAGCTTATCCCTCTCCACACCCCTGACACACACACACACACATACACACACACACACACACACACTTCCCATTTGTAAATCTATTTGGGCTTTGTAACACATCGGGGCGGCGCGCTACAGACCCTGATTGATTAGGTGCACTGTGGAATCCTATCACATGGGCGACTTTTGATGATGTTGCCAACTCTTTCAGGATTGCTAGTTGACTGGAACCGCTGATAGCAAGTAACTTTGTTCCACGAGTTGTCGGACTTTACTTTGGGGGAATTTAGGTAATCAGTGTCTTACTTTATTTATTTGTGCTCAGGGTGTTTTGCGTTGGCTTTTAGGCTGTTCTCAACTCAGGTTACACAAAAAAATTAAGATAAAGTCCTTAATTGGTTTAAATGCACAAATTATTCTCCTCACATCTTCTCCAGCAGTTGTAACTTTATGTGTTTTCCAGGAAACAAGTGCCTCCTGTAGTGTAGCTAACATGATATTACATGCTGGTTATTGTAACATATGGCAGAACAGATGCTGAAACTGTGTGTTTTGTTTACATTCATGCTAAAGTTTGTGGATCATTGACTGTCGTCCGCTCTGCTCTTGTTTTGAAAAGTTAGAACTGGGTTTCCTGCTCTCTAACACTGACTTGTTTCAGTTTTTAGGAGCTGTGGAGTCTCTTAAAGGTCTTCATGGGATTCAGGCTGTGGGGTCAGGAGGCTGGACAACAAGATACTGAGCTGACGTGTCACTGAAGTACTGGATAAGACTGTTGAGACTTTATATTTTCTTATTGTCAACAAATCCCATGTAAATACAGAAACGATGCATGAGTCCATCTCTCAGTGTTTTTCACAGCCTGTCGATGGCACTCAGATCAGTTCCTACTGAAGACAGAGATCTTTAAAGTCAGGTATACAGTTGTCAGTAATTAACTGAAAACTTGCTCAGAGAGGTGTAAATGATGCATTTGCGGGGAACTATTTTCAGCCACGGATTAATACGCTTTGGTGCTCTCGGGAAGTGTCTCCGGCAGCGGGATGGTGCATGTGGGATTGATACAGAAGTGCCCGTGTTCATTGTGATGAAGACACATGTCACCGGCTGCTGCAGTGTGGCTCGCTGATGTGTTTTTAGTAGTTTCCGGACCGAGATGAGCTCTGTGACGTATACAAGGCTTCAGCTACACAGACAACACTTGTTAGTAGGATCAGTTTTTGGTTTCGGGATTTTTCATGGGATTTGTTGACGATAAGAAAAATCACCAGATTTATCCTTTAAATTTTAGCTGTTGAAACATGAGTGGAATGATCCTTTGGTCAGTTTGTGGGTTGTTTAGTAATAATTTGATGTTTTCTGAAGTGCTGAGATGTTCTTAACAATTTAATCTTTAATCTGCATCTACAACAAGCAAACTTTTATATTTCGTTTATGGACATTTGCATGAGACTGAAAAATTAATCTGCAGACATTTTTCCGTATTTATCAGCCCTTTTCCCCTCCTGTCGATTTCTCCTCCTCTGGTGACACTTTTTGTCTCTTGACTCCACTTGGACCTCGGCCAAAACCAGCTTTTAGAGGCCTTTTACACAAGAACAAGAGGTAAAGAGAGCAGAGGGGACGAGGGGAATAGCTCTATAGATCTGTGTTTGTGGTCCTCGGTCTCTGAAAACGTTGTCTCTCAACTTATAAAGCTGTGGATCGAATCCTTTGATGTCACATCGCTGCATGATGTGAGACAGGAAACGAGAGAGAGAGAGAGACAGACAGACAGATGCATGTCGGACTGCCTCTCCTCGCTTTGAGAGAACGAGGCTTTGGACCAGTTTGCTCTCTTGAATAAATTTAGTGTCGGAGAGAGCGGGCAGGGAGGGGTTCATGGGGATTTGAACCAGCGCATTCTTGTGTGCCTTGTGCAGACTCACATGGTTACCATCGGCGTGCACGGCGAGGCTTATCTGAATACGCACCCACCATGTGAGTTGTACACACTTCTCTGTCTCTGTGTGTCCCCCCCCCTCTCTCTCTCTCTTATGGGGGAGGCGGGGCTTATGTGGAGGAGGGGGGGGGGTCTGAGTGGCTTCAGGGTGTTTTGTTTGTTCTTGGGTGTCTAGTTACCCAGCCTGCCCTGCTCTGGTGTTGCCTGGTCACGTCTCTCATCGGCTCTCTTTATTGTTTACCTTCCTAATGAGGGAGGCGGGACTCTGCGACATGTGATTGACAGCAGTGTGCTTGCCCACATAACCCCCAACCGCCGACCCCCCCCTCCCCTCCCTGAGTCGACTAGGACTTTGGCTTTTTGGCTGAGATGTGCACTGGAGGAGGAGGAGGAGGAGGAGGAGGAGGAGGACAGTTTTTTTTAACATACCTCTGTGTTTTTGTGGGAATTTTTTTTTTTTTTTTTTTTTTTTTTTTTTTTTCTCCACCATCCTCCTGAACCCTCCTCTCGTGGGCCGGCCTTGTTGAGAGAGGATTGTGGGAGAGTGGAGTTATGGCGGATATAGAGACACATTCCTGTCTCACAATTATCTAAAGATGATGACTCACATGATGACTCAACTGCCTTTCGTTTTCTACACTTTGCACAGAGTGTCTTGATTCTCAGTGTCTCTCTCTCTCTCTCTCTCTCTCTCTCTCTGTCTCTCTCTGTCTAAAAAAAACAAAACAAAAACTCTTCAGATGCAGGTTTGAACATATTTGGCAGTTTTGAAGTATTTCTCGACTCCTCTACAAAGGCAGAGCAGAGTAAATTTGCTTCCCTGAGGGAGAAAAAGAACAAGGGAGGGGGAGAAAGAAAAGGAAGAGAGGAACGTAGAGAGCCAAATATTGGGACTGTGTTCATTTCGCTCTGTGGTCGACTTCAAAGGGACGAGCGGGGCCAATGAAGAGAGCGCAGACCTTTCAGGACAAACACACTGGGCCCAGCGTGACACACACACACTCACACAGCCTGACTGCCGCAATTTGACTCAATGAGGAGGGGGGGGAATATTTATTTTTAATAAAGCCACACTTATTTTGGGACTGACATTTTACAACATTCCTTTTCTTCTGGAATCAATAGACGGTTAAATATTGATAGAGGGGTGAAGTTGCACACGGCTCGGCTGTGTTTGAATCCTCTCTGGGATGGAAGAGATTTTTTTTTTTTGTTTTTTTGAATATGAAAGGATGGAGTGTTTTCGAGGGGACACGTTCTCACACTGAGAGGAGGAGCTGCAGATTTCCTGCCTTCATGTCGCTGTGGGACAGTGGTGTAAATCCAAGGTGGAACTGTTTCTGAACATGTTGCAGTGCAGAGATCAGTTTGCTTTAAGAAGATGCCAACCTGCATTTTGTTGCGCCGCTGCAGCAGCAACAAAGTTGAATGCAGTATAATTGCACAAGCTGACTTGTTTTTACGTGATAAGAACATGTTGGATTGTGGTTTAAATTTTACAAAGAGGAAGTTTAAAAAAAAAAATTAAAAAAAAACCCTCATAGTTGTCATGATTTTATTGTTTAAGATTAGTTCAGTGTTTGTGGGTGAGGGAGGGAGGAGTGCTGCTGGTGCTGGGTGAATGTGGAGCCGAGGGCGCCAGGCGGATATTTGAGCCCCAGGGGGAGTGAGTGCTCTCCTGTGGGCTGCCCCCCTCTCCAGGGAGAAGCTGAGGGGATTTGGATCGGGGTCCCACCTGGACCCTGTGGGGCCCTGTGGGGCCCCTTCCTGCAAAGACCCTGGAGAACTGATAGAGGAGAGTCGGGGGCTCACCTGTTTGTTTGTTTGTTTGTTTGTTTATTTAGCGGAGGAGGAACAAACTGCTGCTCTGTGTTTGTCTCTGACGTGACGTCGAGATGTTTCTACTCATTTGGATGAATCTGTGAAAGATTCTGGATCATGACGACTCAACTGGGTTTTTTCTTTTATCTTTAAATTCAGGAAACAGGAACATAATCACTCTGTCTTCATCCAACATCATTTTACCCAAATTAACCTCAAAAATGGAAGAAAAGAAATGCTTTATACAATAGGGCTGTCACTTTTAATGAGCATGATGACAATTGTCATCTCCTTTTTTAGGAAATCACATGAACAGGAAACATTGAACACATAAAGACACAGTGTGTTAGTATAAAACTTTAAAGTCCTTTTTAAACAAGCAGCACAGTCATTGTGTTTTTGAGACTATGAGTAAGGTCCTGATGAGCTGCGTGTTCCTGTGGGAATGAGATTCTTCTCATGTATCTGTGCATCATGAGGCCGCACATTAACATGACAATATCCTTCAAGTGTGTTTGCTCGGGTCAACACATCATCACTGTCCACACACACAACCTGACGGAGTGTGTTTACACGTCACATTCACACACTGGTCTGGTCTCCATCGCTGCACAGTCCAGCAGATTCATAACAAGATGAACTTTTACCAAACGCGTCCGTCCACTGAGCGACCTGCAGCGTCGACCAGAGAGCGCGTCCGTCATGTGGAAGCTCTGCAGTCCTCAGCGGCATCTGATGGTTCCTGATAAAGAGCGGTGTTAAAGTGAAGCCATGTCCAGTGTGTCTGGAAAGTCTTTTTTTAAAAACATCTTCATTAGAGGTGATCATGAGGAACAGTTTTATTCCAGGAGGATCTGAGGTAATTCAGCATTTTGTAGAAATGTTGTCTTGTAATGTTAAAGTTGTGAGGTAGTTGGTCGGTCGTGTTCACCAGGTCCTGGGAGGTTACAACAATAACTTTTCATCCATGGGACAAAATGTCTTTTAGAATAAAGAGGTCGTCGTCCGTGCGTCCTGCTCTGACGGAGTTTGTTCCTCTTGTCGTTGCAGACTGGCAGAAGACCGAGGCCCAGAAGAGACGAGAGCAGCTGCTGCTGGATGAGCTGGTCATACTGGTCAACAAACGGGACGCGCTGGTCAGGGACCTGGACGCCCAGGAGAAACAGTAAGTTACCCACAATCAAGACACACAGCAACACACAATCAAAAACACTTAACACCCTGCAGCGCCTCAGAGTTCTGAGCGTCTGCTGCCCGTCTTTAAATGTCCAGACGTCCCACAAACCGCAGACATAGTGAAAACACATTGCAGGACATGTTGCATTCCAGCCAGCCTGCACTCATGCTGCATGGTGGCGGCGGCAGCAGGAGCGCACCTGCACGGGCCGGAGCCCGTCCAGATTGGCGCCGCCGTCCACCAACAGGGTGCCAGGCAGGCGAAAGGTCGGAGCTCGGCCCCTGGCGCTAGTCCACGCCACAGGTGGCAAGGCGACGGTTGCCGTGGCGCCAACTGTGTTACCTGTGTGTGCACGCTCCCACCCCCGCCTCCTCCCCGCTCCCTCCCCGACACATCTGACCTTTTGACCTTTGCCCTCCGCAGGGCCGAGGAGGAGGACGAGCACCTGGAGAGGACGCTGGAGCAGAACAAAGGCAAGATGGCCAAGAAAGAGGAGAAGTGTGTCCTTCAATGATTGTCACTTGAGAAAAACACAACCAACAAATGTAGCCGATAAAAGAAATGTATCATTATTATTATTGATATTATTATTATTATTATTATTATTATTATTTGATAGTGGCTTTTAAACATTTCTATCAGTTATTTGAATCTTTATCTGGTTGTTGTTTCGGTCAAATTAACCTCAGAGACTCGGCTGAATTTAGAGGCCTGCGATGCCTTTGCACCAACTTTATACTGACTCCAACTGTCCCACATATTTACAGTATTTTTTATTTTTAATTCTCCTTTGCTTTACACAGATCGGTACTTGTCTGTAATATAAATATGTGTGAGACAAAGGCAGTGGAAAGGCTGTGATGTTTGTATGTAATAATGCAGCAGCACAGCCCTCTCTGTGTGAATGTGGAGAGCAGTGGGTTTGAGGTACAGCACAACAGGATTTAATGGGGGGATTTCTCTTTATCTATTTTTTTTTTTCTTCTTCATCATGTTGAGAAGATGATGAGGCGGCTGACGTTTCAGTTGGACTTTTAAAAGGAAAAAAAGATTGGTTGTACCATCAGTTTTTTTTTTTTCAAGCTACTTCATTACTTGACGGTGTCTCTTTTAATTATTTCTCTTAAAAGTTTTTACTTGTAAAATATCTTAACAGGGGAACACCTTACCGTTCATAAATCTAAACTTTCCTATTGCTTTTTTTTTATTGTCTTGGCTTGAAAGCAGTTTACCAAAAGATCATGTTTAAAAAAAACAAAAACAAAAACAAAAAAACCACAAACAAACAAAAAAAACTCATGTTGTATATTTTCATCACTGCTCTGACCAATAGCAACAAAATCCTCTTTATTTGTCAGGATTCATGCAGTCAAAACAAAAAACTATATATATTATTTATTGCCGTTTGTCCTATAAGCTGCTTGTAACTGAATCTACCATCACAGTTCATGTGCATTTTGCTCAACAACTTTTGGTTTGTATTTATTGTATTCTGAAGAGGAGAAATATGCTTCCACGTGCATCTCTTAGAGCTCCACATCTGGTGCAGTTGTCCTTTACGTGTGAACATTTACCTGTTTATTTATTCCAGTGTCATAACCCAAGTCTTCAATAATAAAGTCCCTATGATTTCATACTCCACAAGGCAGCGTGTGGCGTCTTTTTAAGGCTCTGGATTAAAACACGCATTTTAAAGCAGCAGATATTTATCTCCTCGCGCCTGGACACCGTTTTATAATTGTTGTCATATTTTAACGTTGAGTTTTGATGGAATCTGCGGCTTTGAAGTCTGTTTTCATATTATTTTTTATTTTTTATAATTGCACACACACACTTCTAAAACTTGTAATCTCAACGCTTTCATTCTTTTCTCTATCAATTTCTCCATTTTACCTCCAATCCCACATGATCCTGACCACATTCCTGATTTTTTTTTTTTTTTTTTTTCTCCTTTCTTTCTTTTCACATAACAAAAAGTTATTGAAATGCATGCACGCCTTTGGCTGCAGCGCTGCACATAAGTGGCCCCTATCACTGCATTCACCAGCGAGCGCTGCGTTTAGCAAAGCTTATTATTCGGCGCTCTGTTCAGTTCCCCTGCGACTTGTGCGTGTTTATAAATTAAAATTGGCGTTCGGGTTTTTTGTTTGAGGTCGGTGCTGAGCAGGTTCCTCAGAGGAAGATTAGAGAAATCACTTTGTACCGAGCAGATGTTTTTCTTTTTTTTTTTTTTTTTTCTTCTCTGGGCCGCTTCTGTGCGCGCTGGAGACGGGGTGCAGGGCTGGAGAGGCTCGGTCACCCGCAGCCACGGATGGAGAGGATGGGGAAGGAGAGGGGAAATTACAACTGGAAGGTCAGAAAAAACTATCGATTTAAAAAATTTTCAGATGAAGAAAAAAAAAATCGCCATCTTAAATTTCCTCCTTTTTTTTTCTTTTTTTTTTTTTTTAAAACTTCCTCCAGTTTTCTGACGCGCAGCCTGATGTTGAGACTAAAATTAACAATGAAATAAAAATCAGTGTCTGTGGTTGAACCCTCCGCTCCATCCCTGCAGGCAGCCTCCCATCCCCGATTAAAGCAGGGAAATAGGTTGTGACAGCAGACGTCCTCCCCGGCCTTTCTAATACGTTAAAATTAATTTGCTGATTCGTTTCTTCTCTGCTTGGGACCGACTGTACGTGCACGTTACGCACTTTACGTCCCCCGAGGCGCTTTGTTTTAGTTTGTATTACACCGCGTTTATCACGGGTGACTGTAACCTGCAGAATAAAGCGAAGAGCCAAACCGGTGAAGGACGTTTTGCTCGGTGTCGTCAGAGGGCTGCATGTGGCTGTGTGTGTGTGTGTGTGTGTGTGTGTGTCAGTGTGTGTGTGTCAGTGTGTGTGTGTGTGTCTCAGTGTGTGTGTGTGTGTAAGTGAAAAACCTTAAAAATTGTTCACAGCACCTGTCACTTGTAGATGAGGTGGAGATGGATTAAATTTCTTCTATAAATAGTGAAATATTTTCTCTATTGTTTGAAAAGCTGCCTGGTTTGATCCGGACAGAACTCAACTTCACTTCATCAATTTGACAGAAGTTTTGTTTGTTCGTCTGAATCAGTTTTAAATTCACCAAAGTTCTTCCTCTCCTCTTAAATCGGCCAAAAATACTTGAAGGCCTCTGATGAAATAAAACATTTCCAATGATTAAATTAATATTTCAACGTGTTTTCTGCGTGTGTTTCAGAGTTAAGAGAATAAACAGCCCGTCTTACCTCTGCAGGATCACCGGCTTTCTTTAAAGCTGCAGTTGAAGCAGACGGAGTGAAAAACATTTGGAGTCACTTTCCTGTTTTTCAGTGAATAAGAGCGACGCGGTGCGTAAAAAGCGGCGGTGGCTCTGCGCTGCTGTGCAGCTGAGGATCCTGCAGCTGAATGGATTATCTCCTGAGCTTTGATGTCTCCTGGCCTCACCTCACAGGTGCTGAGCGCCGCTCGGCCTCTGCATTACTTCCTTTCCCCCGCCGCCGTCCAAAAAACTGCACCTGAGGGAGCCCGGGTCTCCGCGTGCAGCGCCGGGGCTCCTACAACACTGTGTTTTATGCATCATCGTTTTAATAAGCACCGACAACATCCCCGCAGATCCCCGCTTCCAATCCTGCCGGCTGAAGGGACAAAACTTTTCCCCCTCCTCTCCTCGCCGCCTAATCCCAGGCTTTACCAGCTCAGCATTAAGAAAATTCAACTGCAATTTGGGATTAGACAAAATACTCTTATTACAAAAGGTTGGTGCAACTTGATAACTTGATACTTGTTCAGGGGTTTATCTCGGGGTCTTACTCACATCGAGAGAGGAGCGAAAAAAACAGGAAATGTAGGGGAAATGTCAGAATAACCCGAGTCTTTTGTGTTGTGAGGACCATATTTGTTGAATGGCCTTTTTGCATAATTTAACGGAGCCTCTGTGTGCGCGTGTGTGTGTGTGTGTGTGTGTGTGTGTGTGTGTGTGTGTGCGCGCGCGCGTGTGTATGTGCCTGTGTGTGCAGAGAAGAGGAGAGGAGAGGAGGGGTGATGGTATTTCGGCCAGACCCTCCACGGGCCCTCTGACTGCACAGACTTCTGATGTGGTGGAAATAAAAAGGTGCGTTAAAGTGTTTGACCTCCAGTCAGCAGCCAGGAAACACAAACCCACATCAATTAACAACAACAAAAAAAAAACAGTCAGAAAAGACGCTTCTCTTCTTCTTCTATCACTTCATTCACACATCTGACCGCAGTCACTGTTTTGTTTTTGTTTTTTTGTGCGTAAAAACACGGACACAATCCACTTTATTCCTGTGAATACAAAGGTGCGTTTACGTTCGTTTTGTTGCGTTCAGGTGCCCTTATCCTCCTCCTCCTCAGTGTCTCTGTCTGTAATAAGCAGCATCACTACAGGCCTCCACTCACAACCTCCTGCATTACTATTGATGTCTAAGTTTCTCTGTCAAAGTGCTCTCTCCTCGATGACTTTTAAGTCCCATCTGCCTCCACTTTGATACCCCTCCTCCTCACACACACACACACACACACACACACATATAATTTCCATCCCTACAGTCTCTCTCTCTCTCTCCCTCCCTCTCTCTCTCCCTCTCTCTCTCCCTCTCTCTCTCCCTCCCTCTCTCTCTCTCTCTGTGAACATTAGCTCGCTTTCAGCTCAGGCCTCATTTATAGAAGTTGGTGTTTTTTTCGAGCCACGCTGCATCTCCACGACCCTCAGTGACGCACAGGCCGCAGAAAGAAAAGAAAAAGAAAGAAAAAAAAATGCTGTTTGTTTTTCTGTGTGATTGGTTTAAAACACATTTGAAAAAAAAAAAATAACATGAAGAGAAAGTTGCAGGTTTTGATTCGGTGACCGCAGCTTCTGGTGCCGATCTTTCTTCTTCTGTGGCTTCTTCTTCTTCTTTTTCCTCCGCAGTGAGTTGGAGGTCTATCCCTATTAAACTTTACGTCAACCATCCTCAAATGTAATTCTAAATGGGGATTAGACCTCATTAATATTCATGAGGCTGGTGTGTGTGTGTGTAGAGAGAGAGAGAGAGAGAGAGAGAGGAGGGGGTGTATCACAATAAAAATCAAAACGGATAAATTTAACTTCTTTGCATCCTTTTTTATTTATTTCTCACGTTCACGTTTTTGAAGGGAAACTAGCAGCAAATAACAGTCAGAGTGAAAATAAAGAGCGCGTGAGGAAACGTGTTGATAAACGAACGTGCAGCTTTCTCACACTAAAACACATTTAAAGCAGATTTTAAACCTCAAAACAACACATTTCTTCATTTTGTACATTTTCTGTCTTTTGGAACATTCAGAATAATTTTTATTTAACAGAAGCACCGATTTTGGATATTTACGAGCAAATAAACGTCACTCATGGCACCGTGCGATTCAAAGAAGCAAATGAATTGGTGGATTTTTTGCAGGAAATAAGTTTTAGGATGAGATTCAGTTATTTTTTAGTTCTCCTGTGGTCGCTGCAGTACCCCCCCCCCCCCCCCCCCCCCCCCTCCTGTGAGCTGCATGCAAATCATAAAATACTAAACTCTTCCTATGAAAAGTGACTGTGCTTTAAATTTAATTTCTTCTTTTACGCACTTTGGCGCACAGCGGATCACAGCCCTGCTCCCCCTGAAGCGCTTTCTCCTGCAGGCCTGTGAGACATTTCCGTCTTTTCAGGACCTCTCAGTGGTTCGTCTGGTCTCGGGACCGGGACCGAGAGGAGGAGGAGGAGGAGGAGGAGAGGGGAGCGGGGCACTGAGTGGGAGTGGGCTTCCCCTTAGCTGCCTCTGAGCGCCTATAGGCCGCCTGCGCCGTCCGTCAGCCCGGGGACGCGCGCCCATTGGCTGCAGGAGGCGGATCCGCAGGTGTCCTCCGCTCATAGAGGCGCAGGGCGGAGAGAAGGTGATCAATCTCCATCCGTCTCCATTAGAAATCACCTTAACACTCTGACAGACAACGACAAGCCCCCTGAAAGCAAATGAGTTTGATTTATTTGGCTGTAAAAACACCCGGAACCGCAGCGAGGACGCGGTGACGCCCGTGTGCTGATAACC